AAATTCATGGACTGGAACTAACTGTTGTATAATGTGAAGCACTTTAGCAGTTTATCGAGCATGTCTGCCATGGCAGATGATTTCTGTAATCTTTCATCTTGTCAAATGGCTGTTCATGGTTAACATTAGGACTCTTTACATTGGGAGCAGCCTGTGCTTTTATGTGTTGTAGAGGCGAGCCTTCCAGAGGAGCTTGGGGACGACAGGGGTTTCAATTGCGAGTTTGTGCCGGATCTGTCTCCGGGACTCAAGGTCACTATCAGATCAATCTGGTAAGACACATTTATCGCCCGACTAAAACAAATTAGGTGTGGAAATTTTTGGTTTCACAACAATTCATTCAAAAAACAAAATAAAACTAAATGTGATTCTTTATAATTATTAAAAAAAAAAAACTTAAAACAGTCATTAAACTTCTGGGACAGTCGAATGTTTATTAAAATCTGCAGTTTTTGCTTTGTTACATGAACTTTTCTGTCTTCCCCAGTATTATGCGCTTCCTGGTGTCTAAGAGGAGATTTAAAGAGAGCCTCAGGCCCTATGACGTGATGGATGTGATTGAGCAGTATTCAGCCGGCCATCTGGACATGCTGTCACGCATCAAAAACCTTCAGTCCAGGCAAGACTTTAGTTCATCACAAAGTTTTCACCATTACGGTGACCCTCCAACAATGACACGATCCACCTGTTTCAGTAGTCAACCAGTATTTGTAGCTGGATTGTTGTTAAAAAATTGCAGAAAGATACTTTAACCCTGCTTGATCAAAATCACATTCACAGTGGTTGTTTTCTGTGTCACATCCACAATGATTTGAATTCAGATTCACTCCTTTTCTCTCAAATAAGCCTCATATATGTTGTGAAATAGCATCCACACATATACCAATATATTCCAACAGCAAAAACCATTTCTATCATACATGTAAACATGAAACACTGTTCCTAGAAGTGGGTGAGAACAGACATGTATGGAATATATTCTTTCTTATTTGTCGACGGTCCTCGCTGGAGTATTTGGAATGGTTCCCATGTGTTGCTTGATGATGCTTGGTATCCATGTTCTCTCTGTGTGCTTTGCCAGGATAGATTTGATTGTGGGTCCCCCTCCCCCCTCGACCCCTCGTCACAAGAAGTACGTAATCAATTCACCAATGGCCTTCTCAGGCTGAATGGGTTTATTATTGGACAGCATAGTATAAAACTACAATTGTATAATGTCAAAGAGTCCTCAAGAAAAACACGAGGAGAAACGTGTCGATAACTGGTAGCATTATTAACTAGATATTCTACGTTCACATTGAAAAAGAATGGCATTTTGGATGGGTGCAAGTATCCATAATTGCTTAAATGCTTCGGAATTTAGCTTAGAATTTATCAAAAGTTAATTTATAAAATTATATATATATATATTAAAAAATTTGTGTTTATGCTGTGCAATACTACTCACTATGGTGTGACCATGCAGCCTGCTTACCGGGGGACTGATGCAATTGTGCATGATGTTCCAGGGTTCAAAAAAGAGAGAATAGCTAAAATGTACGGTGTTTAAAACACAAAGCATCATAAGGCATGGAACCAGGTGACATTGTGAATAAATTTACATTTATTTCCCCACATTTTTTATCATACAAATTCATTGTCATTTGTGTGTTTGCCAATCAGTGTTGGGGAGGATGATGCTTTTTATTTTAAAGGCCCTGATACACTCAGATGCTGAGACAGTGTATAGATGAATACATATGTGCTGCGTGCTTTCCTCTCAACAAAATAAACACACAACAAAATAGAGAAAGCAGAAAGCATTTTAATAAGCCATAAGAAAAGCATCTGATCATTGCAATGTGGATCTGTTTGCATGAGTTCGGCACTCTAGTAAAATCACGTCACGTTTATTTATATAGCACTTTATATAATAGATTGCTTAAAATCAAGCAGCTTTACCGTATTAAAAAAACAGTGTCAGTGTCTCGTTTCATCAGAATTACAAACCTCCACAAATTGAACAGGAGAAATGAAGTGGTAAAGATTTTGGCGTGAAAGAAGGCGGAGTCTCCATGCACACCTACCTATTACGTAATCGCCATGGACCAATGGTAGTACAATGGTGTTTACCAGTCATAGCGAACTTTTCCGGAAAGTTCACTTTGGCAAAAGCTGTTTCAAACTCTCAAAACGATTTCACTTGAAGTATTTCGTGGGCTATCTATTCTAAAAACAACTATCTGATTGTTACGAACTGCTCCGAGACAAGAAGTTTGAGACGTTTCTTTATTTTTAGTTAGTTACTCCCCAACACTGCCGTCACTAACTTGGCAGAGAAAGACTCAGATGTGTTTCACTGCAGTAATGTGAGTGTTCATCTGCAGCGCATCTTTGTTTGAAAGTTTCATCTTTTTGAAGACCCTGATGAATGCATGCTAACTAACTGCTTTGCAGTATGGCATGAACCATGCAATATCACATATATTCACTTTCAGCAAATCACCCTACCCTTCCCTATGATTTAAACCCTGCTGTCCTATGTTTGCATTCGCATGGTCAAGTTCTCCTCCATAAAGCTAATTTCTGTTAACTTGACAAGGTACAGTGCACAGTTAACCACTGAATCTCAGTGTGAATGAGGGCGTATTGACTATGTGTCGAAGTGATGGTCTATTGGATCACTAGAGTGGATCAGATTGTGGGAAAAGGAGGCGGGACAGGAGAGAAGGACAAACCCAAAAGCGACACAGAGATGGCTGAGGACCAGAGCATGATGGGACGTCTCAACAAGATGGAGAAACAGGTTAACCACATTGTGTCAAGTTCATTTGATGTGGTTGTATAGCCCCACACTGTAAAAAAAACAATATTTTCAAGATTTGTTGTCACAACATTTTTTCTTTTGCCAAATCAACTTAATTTATTTAATTCAGATAACTCATTATTTTGAGTTTCTGATGACTCACTTTTTCCAGTTCAATCAACTTAAAATTTTAAGGCATCCAGGTTACTTACTTTTTTAAGTTAAACCAACAAGCTGAAGAGTCCGGTTGTCTCTCCTTGTGCAGGTGGGTGCAATGGACCTCAAACTCAACTTTTTGGTCAGCGTGTATACAACACAAATGGGCATCCCGCGATCTGAGACCGAAGCTCTCCTGGGCTTTAAAATCCCTTACCCTGCTCCTCCTTACCACAGTCCTGACGATAAGAGCGAGAAAGCACAGAGCGAGGACGAGGATAAAAACAAGAGCAGGTCCCAACCTGTCCATCCTGGTCCCAACAGGACTCCCTCAGACAGCCAGTGTCGGCCCTCTACCTCGTGGCACCAGCAGGAAGAACATCCCCTCAGCGTGCCTCTCTGGAACAACAGCCGAGGAGTGTCACCGATAGGCACCGACGACCCCTCACTGTACCGCCTCCCGCCTCCGCCGTTCCACGAGAACGGTGACAACAGCCGCTCGCGCAGGTCCAGGAGACCCGTCCAGCAGCAGGCAGCCGTCGAGAGTGACACGTCTCTGTCCATTCCCTCGGTGGACCACGAGGAACTAGACCGCTCTTTTAGTGGCTTTAGCATTTCTCAGGCCAGAGAAGCGGAATATGTGCCTCCGGTGGGTCTGGGGCTTTTTGGTGGAGGAGGCGGGATGCTGCGCACCCGTCTCAGGCCTTATCTGGCCGAGGGGGAGTCAGATACGGACTCCGACCTGTATACGCCCGGAGCACCGTCACCTCTCTCGTTTACAGGAGAGGGGCCTTTCGGTGACAGGATGTGGCCCGGTCTGAAGTAAGATTTGAATTTATGTTGTGCAGACCAGTGCCCTGGATGTAGCAGATGGACATGTGTGTGGTGGCCATTTAAAACTGTCGGAAAAACACACGTGGGAGTGATTGCTGATGAAACATCAGCTAGAACGAATCCTGAACTTTGTGATTTAAAAAAGACCTCAAACAAGGAGGCTGAGGATATGTGCAGTCACAAGCGGAAAAGATTGTGTGCATTCAATTACCGGCATGGAACTTACTCAAATCAAACAAGGCACCTCTTCTTTATTAGTTTGCGTAGTCACCACAGCTATTGCAGTATCAAATGCACTTTACCTGACAACTGTAATTTTGATTCACAAGATATTTATTTATTTATTTACATTGTCTTTTCTGAAATGCGTAATAAGACTGTTATGCGAAACGAGTAGTTAATCAGGGCATGTGTTCGTAGTAAGCATTTAATGAATATTATAAATTGAAAGGTTCCAATGGAGAAAATCATTTCAGCCAAAGAAAACGACGTCAGAAAGCTGAGCATGCCTTACAGGTACTTTTCTCCTCTTACGTTTTTTATCTGAAGGGTTGAAAGATGACTCCACTTTTTTTGGAAATAGGCTCATTTTACAACTCCCCCAGAGTTTAACAGGTGAGTTTTACCGTTTTCAAATGTATTTAGCCGATATTTTGATATTTAGAAGAATATCAGTAATCAGACAGTTTCTGGTCTCACTGACTTCCATTGTAGGAAAATAAATATACTATGGAAGTCAATGAGACCAGAAACGGTCTGGTTACTGATATTCTTCTAAATATCAAAAAATCGGCTGAATACATTCGAAAACGGTAAAACCCAAGTGTTTAACCCTGGGGGAGTGGTAAAATGAGCCTATTCCCAAAAATAGGGGAGTATCCCTTTAATTTGTATAGCTACTTTTAAAGTCCAAGCACTCACAGAGAGAGACGTGCTTTTTGAGGAATTAATAATATTTCCAGAAACCCTGGTGATTGTTAAAGGAGAAATATCCATGCTATTGTATGCAATCGGTTTTCTAGAATTTGGAAACTTGCACTAAGAAGTAATATTTTATGCTGTAGTGAAGAAGGCACTGGATAATAATCAGACCTAAAAATACACTAACTGCATGGCATGTTTATGGAATATAGCTTGCTGACAACCTAATAGGATGATAATTGAGATTAGAAAGAAATAGCAATAAAAGAATGTCGCATTAAATGCAGTCAGATATAGTCAGGGATAAAGGAATCTATCAAATGTATTTATTTATGTTTTGCATTTTTTTTTCAGGTCATTTTTACTTTGAAAGCACTTGTTTGTACAAGGTGTCCTGTAGGGGCAAGAGATATACATCTGCATATGTGTCACTTTTCCTAGTACATGGAAGATGATTAAATCTATCTAAATGTGGTTTACATTAAAAAAAAAAAAAACAGAGATTACCATGTTTAAAGACATAAACATTTTTAAAAGGCTGTATTTCAAAGCGCTCTTCAAACGTTACAATATTAGGTTGCATCCTGTAAGGAAATAAAGTTGGTCTTATCTCAGTTTGCTTGCTTGTCTGTTTCGTGATATTTTGCATGGTCTTGTGCAATGATGTCTTTATCATAATGCAGAGGCCTTGACTTTTATTTTGTGTTTTGAATTATGTTGAATATTCCAAATCCACGTGAATTCAGTAGATCCAGTCCAAGCTGTCGTTGGCCCAGCAGTAAGACAGCAGCCCCACCACTGACGCTAGACTCACTGCTAACACTGACCGAAGCAGGACAACACACTGTAGAGACATCGAGACAGATTAGTGTTATTAGTAATGAATGACTTACTATTCAAAGTCATTGTCATTACTGGATGCTGATTCAGCAGTAACTTGCATTGTACATGAATAATGGCATTGCATATGATAAATGTTTACAACATTAGACATGACTTACTCCCACTTTTTTTCTAACAAGCTTTTAGATTATGGAAGGCATGTCCGGTTTGGGGATAGTTCCACTCAAAAATGCTGAATCAAATCATAAGGTTGCGCTACAAATATTCCTTAGCGCATTTGTGGTCTTATAAATGAATAATGAATAATTCACTGCAATGCACTAATTATCTCTCTTTTTCTCCTCAAATCCTCATGTCTCTTTCCAGGTTTGTTTTCACATGGATGCTTTAAAATGTGAGTGTTTACTGGAATATTTCTAAAGCAGGTATGCAAAATTTATTATCTGTCAAAATGACGGAAATCACTTTAAAATATCACTAAATGTTCCTTTTTTTTTTTTTTGATTAAGGCAACACATGTTACATAATACAGGCATCTGTTACTACAGCGATATTTAACACATCCGTAATATTGGGGCAGAAATAATCAAGCTTTTGATATTCATTCATCTGTTGCTCCCAAAGTTTTTGCAAGTTACTCCCATCATTTATGCAAAGAGTCGTAGTAGGAAACCGGCGATATGTTTTAAGGACAAAAAAGCTTTTGGCTAACCTGTCTCCAGATAAAAAAAAATAGAACCTCAAATGAGCGTTTTATCTGTATTGTTATGCTGTTTTAGCTTTTCTTTAATTCACGCGAGTTTATGCTTACCTTGTTTCTTTTGGGGTGTTCCTTCAGCTCCTTGCCTGCCTTTTGTAACTCCTTTGGTAAAACCTTGTACCTTCCTGCGTATAAACGTCTCTCATGTGGTTCATCAGAATCACTTTGGTCCTGAAAAGTGGAGAGCTGATGATGTGAGATTATTATTATTTGATTAATGTGTTGTATGCTTGATGATCTGATGTTCTCACCTCAGTCTTCTGGACATTGGCTGTGTCATCTTCTGAGTTTGATTCCTGTTCGCTGCTGCAATGCAACATATAATACAAATTTACCATTCTAAAATCTGAATGAAATTTAAAAATGAATGAAATCCATCTCACCTATCATTATCTTCCTCATTTTGAGAAGATCCTTGATCCAACCTAAACATTGCCCTGTGAGTCCTGTCTGTTACTTTTGAGAGAGAAATGTGCACTTTACTTATTTATGTATTCATTATTCATTCATTTGTTTGTTTATTTATTGATTTGTTAATTCCTTCCTTTCTTCATTCATTCATTCGGCTTTTTTAATCTGAACCCATGTCCTTTGTACTAGTGTCATGTGTAACAGTTGAGCTACAGCAAAAAATAAAATAACTATTATAATAACAAATATATTTTAAAGAAATGTATTCCTGTGATGCAAATCTGAATTTTCAACATCATTACTCCAGTCTTTAGTGTCACATGATCCTTAAAGTGTTATTTGTCAGTTGTCTCTCTCTATTACTTTGTCTGTCTGTACAATATCGTGTTGGATATTTTAGCCCTGCAACACAATCTGGACGTTGGTCATAATATCTAACATTCTAACATTTACATATGATCATTTATTTTCTGTCATGTCACCTTTAATATATGAAGAGTTCAGATGCAAAAGCCTCTAAGTGCCATTTGAAATTTTCTTCTAGAATGATCATTTTTATCAAGCTTGTATATTTAACTTCAGTGATTTCACTTAAATGGCAATGATAATTACCTATTAATTGTTATTTAAGTGAAATTACTGAACTTAAATATACAACTTTGATAAAAAATCATCATTAAAGAAGAACATTTCAAATTTTAGAGGCATTTAGAGGCTTTTGCATCTGAACTCTTCATATTTAAATATGCTTTATCATTCCTAATCATAAGATATTTTTGATGAAATCTGAGAGCTGTCTCACTCCTTCATAGGCTGCTTGGTAATTTCATCTGCCGGCCTAGAAAGTAAGTAAAAACATTCTTAAAATAGTCCAAGTGACTACCGTGGCTCAACCTTTTGTGCGGGAAAAAAAAACAAAAAACACTTTATTCAACTATTCATTTTCTTCTGTGTGGGCCTCTGATGTGTGTTAACCAGAGCGCCACGAAGCAATCCACGAGAATTGAGAAGATGATAAACTTAAGGTTGAGCCACTGTAGTCACTTGGACTATTTTAACAATGTCTTTACTAACTTTTCTGGGCCAGCAGATGAAATTACCTAGCAGCCTATGGAGGAATGAGCCAGCTCTCAGATTTAATCAAAAATATCTTAATTTGTGTTCCGAAGATGAACTAAAGTCTTACAGTGTTGGAACAACATGAGGGTGAGTAATTAATGACAGAATTTTCATTTTTGGGGGAACTATCCCTTTAATAAATCATTCTAATATGCGGATTTGATGGCTAAAAACATTTTATATTATTATCAATGTTGAAAACCGTTTATATTACAGTTAATATATTAACTTCTTAATATTTTTGTAGGAACCATGATACTTTTTTTTGGATTCTTTGATGAATATAAGGTTTAAAAGAACAGCATTTATGTGAAATATAAATCTTTGTAATATTTTAAATTACTGTCACTTATGATTAATTGAATCCCCTGCTGAATAAAAGTATTCATTTCTAATTAAAATCTTGCAGATCCCAATTTTTTCAACAGTAATGTAATTTTGATAAAACATTTAAGCACTCACCCTCTTTTTGCTTTTCTTCTACAGACTCTTCGTAGTATCTGTCATTTTTCGCTCGTTCTTGCTCCATGTCCCTCTCTATTTCATTTTTCAGCTTCTCCAAGAAATCATCCTGATCATCACAGATCACCTCATTTGAGTTCATTTTATAGAACTCTACATTAATATCATGGTGATATTCATCAAAATTCATGTCCTCATCATCCATCTGAAGAGTGCTGAAATTTTCAATGTATGAAACCTCTGAGGATTCATGGCCGTCTTCCATGTTGCTTTGTTCTTCTTTAACTGAACTGGACTCTGGAGACTCCAAATCACTGATGCAACCTTTTGTGCTCAGTTCCTCTTCACTGCTGTGTGACAAATCACATGCCAAACAAATATATGAGCTTGTATGTTGCACTAAAGTCTATATATATATATATATATATATATATATATACATATATATGTGTGTATATGTTATGCAAAACACTTTACTTTTGAAGTTCAAACTTTGAAACCTGTTTTACCTGTCACTATCCACTTCATAAAGAGAGGATTCTGGATCCAAACAAAACGTCACTTTGTGGATTCTACCTGTTGTAGTTGTTGGGAAAGAATCGGTCCAGTAAGGTAAAATTCATTTATGAAATTCCCTTTGCTTTATGGCTTTCAGGCGTTTCACAAATAAGCATTTACCTTTGTTTTCCTCGCCTTCGGCGGGCTGGTAGAATCTGTTGAATGCCTCAATTCTTGCTTTTTCTTTCTCCCAGTCCCCCTTGGTCTCCTCCTCATCATTCTCCAGCTCGTCCTGAAAATACTCCTCTTCATCACATATCACTTCTTTTTCATCAATGTCCCAGTCATATTCGCCAAGCTCCAGGTTGTGATCATCCATAAAGCTCCAAAATGTCCCAGGTAGCAAAGTGTTGATATTTTCACCAAAGTCTGAACTTTCTGAGTGTTCACTGTTATCATGTTCTTTGTTGTTTTTGCCCTCTAGTGGATGTGACTCACTCCTGTTCTCAGATGATCCTTCAATTCCTCCTTTAGGAGATGCTGGATTGCTTGAAAATTGCATATCACATACCTCTTTCTGACTATCTGTGACCACCACACCCTCTATTTCATGTTCAATGCTGCTCCGATCTCTATTAAAGTCTTTTCCCTGCAAGATCAAATGGGAATTGAAATCAGGGCTTTCTTCTTGAGTCTTGCAGTATTCACCATCACTGCTGATATCACTATCATAGTCAGGCTGCTCAGTCATGTAAGATTCACTGGAGTTAGATTGGAAATTGGCAGAGATTCCAAAATCAGAACATTCTTCAGTGTTTGAAATCTCACTGTTATATTCATCATCTCTAATACTGTCCTGCTTTGTCTGGGACATTATGTCATCATCAGATTTCCCAGGTGTCTCCACATTCAGACCCTCATAAGTGAGCATGTCTACAGGATCCATACATCCATCTTTCATTTGAACATCATCATTCCTTGAAGTTACAACTTTGTAATTCAGTGGAGGTTCTTCTAGGTTCTTCATCTCATATGAACAACCCAGGTCTACAACCTGCACCTGAGGCAGCTTGGTGTCCATGTGATTGGGTTGTCCACCCTCACTGCTGTCCCCACTATCACTTTGAGATAAATCAGAGGGGTACTCTGCTAAACCTTCCTCTTCTCTTTCACGATTTTCATGATCTTCTTCTGTAAACTCTTTCATCTCATCCCCAGACTGAACCTCCATTGATGCTTCTGGCATCAATGGGGTTCCATGCTTCTTCGGTAGATGTGATGGGGTCTCTGGGCTCATTGTTTCCAGATCATAGTGAGGTCCTTTTGGAAGAAGCATTTCCAGCATACTGACATCTTCAGCTTGTTCCTTGTTCATTTGATGGAGATCTGCATGTTTCTCGACTTCCTTCTCTATGCATTCCTCATCATGCAAGCTTAATTGCTGGTTTTGGGTTTGTGTGTTGTTTTCATCTGTATCGTCGTCGTCCCGTGAACCACAGAGCATAGGTCCTGCCTTCATGCTTTGTTCATCTAATGAGAAGTTCCTATTCTCAGAAAAGTTCTTAATTTCCTCTTCCCTATTCCCCCACTCTAAATCTATGTCAGACTCAGATCCACTGGATTCTCTGTGACCGTTGTCATCCTCCATGTCGGGATCATTTTGAGGTACGTTAACGTCGACATCAGAGTGTAGATGCTCAAAATTTGCCTCTGTTTCTATTTTAAAAAAGACACAATGCAATGCACGATTCAAAATATGGGTAAACCACCTATTCGAAATCAAAACAGAGACTTCCTCTACATTAACGAGGTACATTGGGCTTTATTTTTTAGTATTCTTATAGTGACTTAATATGGTTAAAAGTCAGATTATTTATGGATTATTTATTTTTAGTTGTGAAAATCACAACATGCACAGTTGGCTACAAAAGTTTTCACTTCAACATTACACAAAAAGTCTCACGCAAAAATCTTACCTGGGAATGCGTCCTTTAGAAAATTAGCAATGTTTTCCTCCATCTTGTTTTTGGCACAACAGTGTTAAGCATTTAATTTCACCCCGTACCGACAAAATCAAATACAGACATGACAGACACTGAATGTTCCACCACTTGACAAAATGAGTGTGTGTGTGATGCGTGCCACATCATGTCATAGCTGCTTCCTGTTTAAATAGGCCCATAACAACAAGAGCATGAATTGAAACGTCACAGAATTGAGCATGTACTGAACAAAAACTGCTAAATTGGCATGCAATGTAAATTAACATTGTTAAATATAAGTATCAAAAGTTAACAAAGTATGTCAACCCATATTTACTGGATTTATTACATTTATTTACATTTATTATAATATCTCTGTGTGTGTGTGTGTGTGTGTGTTACCGTTGCATGAGTGCAGCCTTGTTTGACATTTTGTAGGTTGCGGTTTGAGTAGCTCAACCACACCGTCTCTGCTAAATCGATGCATCCTCCTCATGAGTTACATATATTTATGCAAACTCTTCCATGCAAACAGTACAATCTGGTTTTAAGATAAACAAGATGGTCGATTTCCATTATGACCGATTTCATTTTTTTTTTTTTTTTTTTTTTTTGTGAGCCACTGTAGTGCTGTGAGTTTGTGTAGTCAGTTTTATGGCATGCATTATTTATTGACATTACAGAGTGAAAGAACATAAGAGCATACAGTAGCCTGAGCCTCAATTCCTCTTTATCAAAACAGTGTAAGGGACTAACAAACTATGAGCTGACTTAAATAAGGAAAGGACCTTCTTATTTTATATGAGTATTTGTTAAAGAGTCACAATTGGAGTTTTGTGGATTTAATCCATGTATATTAGATTTTCTCACAATTTCAGGTATAACAATGAGACTGGCAATATGTACATTGTGTTGATTATTTAATCATCTCCACTATTAGCAACTTCAAATACACCTAGAACAGCAAAGCAAATTTTTGATTCATTTAAAAATAATTTGTATAATAATGACATGGTTATAGATACCAAAATGGCTTAAATAGTGTAGTTAACACTTTTTCTGCTAATGTTCAATATAATAATTTGGCGAGTGCTTTTATTTTCCATTCACATTGTTTCTCTGCAACATCAGTTGTTGATACCAGAGCACAGTACAAGTTATCACAGTATCAGGCTGATATTAATATTAGTATATGTACTTAGCAGGCCATATTCACAGATATTCATCATTTCACAGTTCGTGGCGCATGAGGTAGCGATGGTTTGCTTTTAAATCCACTTCTACAGGATAGTGGTCACTGACTTCCAAAGCCTAAATGCAAAAAAAAAAAGACACATTTCAAACATTGATTATGAATTATGAACTCTGTTTTGCAGTTCTGTTTACCTCTTCTTCAGATAGATTAAATTCTTGTTTGAAGTTGAACGGTTGAGCAGATTCTGGAACTATCCCTGAAATGAGTTCTTTTCCGTGAATAATAATCCTAAAGGGGATTTTCAGAAAGATTTAACTGTTAGACTATCAAACATATATTGGCATGTCATTTTGTCAAACTGGTAACTGTAGTTTAGACTCAAAATGCTATAGAGTGCTGCAGGAATGAGTCCTAAAATCTGGAAATGCTGTTAGTTAGCATTTTTGAACTTTAGTTTAGTTTATCATTCTGCCTTACATCTCATTTTAACCTCCATAAAAGAAATAAACTCATTCAGGTTTAAAATATCATGAGGGTGAATAAAATAAATTGAAGAGTTCAGATGCAAAAGCCTCTAAATGCCATTTGAAATTTTCTTCTAGAATGGTCATTTTTATCAAGCTTGTATATTTAAGTTCAGTAATTTCACTTAATTGGCAATTAATAGGTAATCTTCATTGCCATTTAAGTGAGATTACTGAACTTAAATATACAAGCTTTATAAAAATGATCATTTTAGAAGAAAATTTCAAATGGCACTTAGAGGCTTTTGCATCTGAACTCTTCAATTGTAATTATACTTTTTTTTTAAGTTGTTAACAAGTGGCTTAATGAGACTATAGAAGTTGTCGGGGACAATAAACACTATCACGGTGAACAGGGAACCACTCAGGTTCGCAGAGTTGGCGGAAGCTTAGTGTTCATTTATTGCCTACAGCTTTTTACTTCTAGTGATTTGTATTTAGGATTCAAAATTCAGAAATGTTTTTGAGATCATCTTGATGATCAAAATGTAAGAATCATATACATTTGTTGGTTATTTTCTTCAATAATCCAAAAGTCAATGGAAAAATCCTATTAGCTTTTGTCAAGGAAACCAGTTTGATGCTAACTTCCGGGTTGGCCTACAAAATGATGTCATCCCTGCAGCACTCTATAGTCACAATATGGTTATTGTGTATAGGTTTGCTAAGAAAGTAAGACCTGTCATAAGCGCAGCGTGTTTTTTCACGCACTGTAGTGTCTTGTTCATCTCTGATCAACCAGTGGAACATTGGGTCGTTCTTGAGACGCACGTTTTTCAGTCCTTTATTGGTAACATAGCTGCAGGCTGCATTTAAGTCCCCCAGGAACATCACATTCTAGATAAAGTTAAACGTTTTGTTTTATAAAATGGAGGAATTAATATAAAGTATGTCATTCTGTCTATCGTTCTATCTCTTTTCTAAGTTTGGTGTACCTCAGTTTTCCATTTCTTCCTGACTGTTTGGAAGACCTCATAAAGTGCATCCATTTCTTTCATTGCATTCTTAGGACAGGTGTGCTGACCAATGAGGACGAAGTTCTTCACCACTGTAAGATGATATGGCCAATCAGATTCAATATAAACGTTTTAAGCTAATCATTGTGCTGTAATGTGCTATTTTATTTCCGCTAGAAAGGTTTATGCGACGTACATGTTGTGGGAGAACGGATCCAAATGATGAACGGCTCTCTGGTGAAAACTCCTTCTGTGGTCTCATTGAAATCTGGATGCTGGTATTGCTCTTGCACCTGTAGCATGTCTTTTCTGTGAACACAGCATGTGCTGGATGAGTTCATCATCGCTCCTGTTGTTCGCAATATTCAGGTATAGTCACTACAGATTACTTAGACTTCGCTCGTGTTAACATTTGTGCACGACACCCATTTTAAAAGTTTCATTACCTGTAAATGTACACATACTGCTCTTTGTATGTTTTCTTCCCCATTCTTTTACTCTCTAAATGATTGTAAATGTGAGATGTGTCAAACCTGGGGGAAGTGAAATGAAAACATTGTTATATTACACATTAATTAGTTGCATGCATCAGTGACACATGCAGTAAATACTGTATATACTGTAGGCTACCTGTTCAGGTTCATCAACAATGCAGATACGGCTTGACCTCTAGAATCTCGAACCTCCTGAATCAAACTCAGGTCACAGCGAGAAATGATCTAGGAATTACATAATAATCATTTTCAAGAATTTAAGATGTTTTAAGATACAGACACATTTAAGCTTTATTAATACTGTCAAAAACTGTACTTTTGTACCTTTATCAAAATCTCCATAACTCTCTTATTACTGGCCTTTGCTTCCCCATAACTCTGGATGTTGAAGGCACATATCTTCAGTGATATTACAGAAGTCCAAAAACATAATCCAACAAAACATACCAGAAGAGGCGACCTCATTTATCAGAGCTTCTAGAAATACATAAAGTTACATTAGTCAAACAGATCACTTCCAATTTTTGTAAAACTAGAGACTGTAGTAGTAAATAGCATATAAGTTATAAGTTCTTATTGCACAGCCCATGTTATTAGCCAGCTTATGTTAAAACACCTCAGGCCTACAGCAGCGTCATCCTGTGGTATTGCACTTCCAGTTTTGTCACGTTAAGCAGCAATTCAACCATAAAAAAGTTAGTCTGTAAATTTAGATCCATATACCAAATGCATTTCAATGAAAATATAACATGACTCACCCTGAAAGACGGCTGTCAAGCTATTAAGAGCGTTAAAGTGTTGGAACGAATGTTTTAATGTGCTCTGGTTATCTTTACACAGGAAACCATGGTGAAAAGCAGGGTTGGGCAAGGGGAGGGCAGTGTGTGAATGTGTTCAAATGAGCTGTGTCAGAGCTCCATTAGTGTGTAGGTCAGTCTGGAACGCTAAAGAGCGTGACCTGTCATGACAATGTGTTTTTTTAAGCCATTCAACAGGACAATATTGTTCTGTTATTCTTAGTGAGTGCTAACTAAAAGAAATGTACACCCCTATCTGGAAATAATCTTTTAGTAAAATAGAGCTACAGCTCAGAATACAAAAAGGATGTTGTTTAATAATATCAAAAAATACCAATCTCAGTTGTTCATAGTGAATTTATTCAAGGCTTCAACTATTGACTTTCACATTTATATGTCCAGTTTTTAAACTTCAATAATCAGAATAAAAAAAAATCTATATATGGGATACAGATTTAGGTTTAAACTCATTGTAACACTTTTGTTTTGTAACATGTCACCAGTATTTACACAGTTTGGTCCGTTTTAGATAATAATACAAAGAACCATAGAAAAGTAGGGGCGTAACGATACCCTCATGTCACGATTCGATACTGAACTCACGATACAATATTATTGCGATACTCCAATGAATATGGGAAAAGGTTAACAAAAAATGTACTGTTGATTAATATGCTAATTTTGATATAACATTGTATGTGTACATGAATAGGTTTGGACTTAGTGCTGATAACACAATGCACAGGACAATGGTGACACCACCATTGATTCTGAAGCTGAAAATACAGAATTATATTAGACAAATATGCTTGCACTCTTTCACTGACTAGATATGATTAAAATTATGTTGGCCACTTTTTACTGGTTACTCTGTAAACTTTAACTTTTCTCACACAGTAATTTTCATTTTGGGTGAACTATGCACAAAACATATTGACATTATCCATGATACGTAATGTTACATTTTTTATTGCGATATATTGTTACACCCCTACTAATAAAGATAACAAAATAATAGTGACATAATACGTCCAACTTTAAAAAATCTATTAAAAATCTGAAATAAAAAAATAAATATAAACATCAAATCTTTAACACTCTTGGCTTTACTCTTGCCTGTCACACAGGTTTAAAGCAGGCTCCATGTTGAGCTGATGCTGTCTGTATGAGGTAGTCCTCCATTCGCTGTTCCAGGTCAGAGTAAAACTGACGGAGCAGCTCTCTAGCGGGTTGATGATAAAACCACAGGCCTGCCAACACCACCACCATCATGAGCAGTAAGAACAGACATATACAGAGCCAGGTCCCACAGCGGCCACTCTGTTCAGGGAGATAGAGGAGAAAAAACTAGTCAAACAAGAGACTTATAGTCACGCATTGGTGAAACAGAATGCTGTTCAAGTCTCACCCTGCTGCCTTTCTGGCGCGTCCTCAGTATGTTCAGCTCTTCTCGGCACTGGGTCAGTCGGGACTGATAGCCGTAACAGTCCTGCTCCAGGGCCTCGAGATCCGCCTGCAGCTCTGTGTACTGCCGGGCAACCAAGACAACACTATGTTAAACCATGTCTTATGGTAATTTATAGAGAAAAAAATCTAAAAGAAAGGAAATGCTTTTTACAGCAGCATACATGTTTTGTTGGTTTACTTTATTTTATTGTTCCCCTAAAATAGTCTTAAATGGTGACAACTGAAGTAGGATCACCTCTGGTACTCTACTGCTAATATATATATATATATATATATTAAGATATTAAATATTTGAAAGATCTTTGTAATTCATAGTAGTTCAATTTTAGTTCATTGTCATAAAGGAAAATGTTAAATACAGCAATTAATGAGGAAAGATTAAAAATATAAAGGTATTTTCTTGAATGTAATTTACATTAAAAAAACATGCATACATTTCTAAAACAGAAGTTAGAAACCTTGGTTTTTTAAAGAGAAGATTTTGTATATTTCCTTTTATGTATACGTAAACTGGAAAATACTTTCAGTAGAAAAAGATTCACCTTATTCTTAGAAATAAAATATTATATAAACCAGGCAAATAATATATGAACAAAACTTCAGAATATGCTGTAGAAATCTACATATGCTGTAGATATGTATTGTAATTAAGATCTCCAGGTGCAAATAGATAAAGCGTAATAAACATTCAAATGTGTATTTTGGATGTTTTCTTTACGCTAGTCTAAAAGAAGACATGTTATGGGTGCAAAATAACTCTTGTGCATAAAAAACAACTTTCAAAAACAAAATTCAATTTCAGTGCTCTCGCTGGGAGATCTTTACCTCATTTTCTTTCATTCTGAGTCTCTGTTCTGTGTCTCTCAGTTGTCTCGCAATGCCGTTATCTGTCCGTAGGAGTTGGTCCAACACTGAAACATTTTCATGTATTTGTGTGTTACTGTTCCACAACTCGTGGTTGTGTCCTGTGAGTGTGTGAAAGAAAGAGACGGATAAAGAGAAATGCATGAAATGTGATTTGAAAGAAATGCAGCTTGTTAATTCCTTAAGTGTTTCTAAATATTTCCATGATTGTTTTATCTAAATATGTGAAGTGAAAGTCAGTTTGCCAGCACCTTTGACTTCCTGTAGATATGCTCTCAGGTTGAGGTTCTCCTCCTCCAACTCGGAGATGCAGGAATGAAGCTCCTCTCTCTCTAACTGAAGAGATTCACTCTGTTTCCTCAGCATCTCCTCCTGTTCCACAGAACGCTGCACAAAAATTTATACAACAATAAATGAAACATGCCACAACCTGAGAAGAACTATTCAATCAGTTTTAATTAAAAACGCTTTTACAAAATTACTTAAAAGTCGATTTTCACAACAAAAAAAAGTAACTTCCATAAATGCTTCTATGATTGGATCATTATTGCAGCCGTTATTATGTTTCTAGCATATTATGTGCTTGGCAAAAGTTATTCTAACCCTAATTGATTGAGTGTATAGCTTTTCATTTCTTAAACAACCATGTAGAAAAACACATTATGGACATATTCAAGAAGTTAGGCTGAAATTGTGACAGAATGAATGGTAACTCAAAGAATGGTTAGGAGGGAGCATGAGGAATGACAACTTTACAGAGTGCTTGACTCTGGCAATGTCCATTCAAGATCTTGATGTAATGGATGCACCTCTTGATGGAAATAAATGTTGTGATGTTATTTATTTTTGGTCAAGATCTTGTATTGACAATGCAAGAGTCCAGCACTCTGTAAAGTCTACTTTCAGTCTCCCCAGTGAATTTAATGTCTGAACTCAATGGTGCCAGTTCATGTGTGAAAATAATTCTTCATTCTCCCTCCCAACTATTCTTTCAAAATTTGAGCCTGATGAATCTTGATATTGTCAAGAAATATTGATATTCCTACATGGTTGAATATTGATATTCCTACATGGTTGTTTAGGAAATTATAAGTTACACACTCCATTAATTAGAGTTAGAAGAACTGTTGCCAAACTTATAACATGCTGGAAACATAATAATCACTGCAATAATGATCCAAACAGAGTCAAAGCAACTATTTTTTGGGCTGGGCCATAGACATTAGATGTCACCTTGGGGTTCTAAGCATGCGTCAAAACCGCCGCCATCTTGTCATAGGAAGTAGGTAGATAACGCTGCTAACACTGCCTTTACTTCAAATAAATTGATGGTGGCGGACTTTTGTGCTGTGTATGATGTTCACACGAATGAAATCTGAACTAGGAAGAATGTTTTTTAAAAATATAATTTTTTTTTTTCTGGAATCAATGGTTAACATGTCTGACTGTTGGAACGAACCAAATAAACGAGTAATCGCATTCATGATGATTTATGGTGATTTTATTTCCGTTAGACCTTTGTATACATTGACGCTGATGCATTAAAGTGGAGGGGCTCCCCTGTTTCAAGATGGCGGCTCTATTGACGCATTCGTTCTAATGAACTGCCATAGCCAGGTGACATCAAGTGTATACTGTATATCCATGGGGCCGGGCAGTGTTGTTGTTTTTTTTTCTTCTTCAGATGTTTCTGAAAAAAGTTCTGATTGGCTATACTGAAAGTAGATTCCTGTGGTTTGTCAGCTTTTGTAGAAGTCTGTGATGTGTCACTCAAGTCCTTTGATTCTCTCATCACGGTTTTGCTTTGCTATACCTCCAAGTGACTCTGCAACTGTAGCATCTGATCAGTGCACTCGTCCTGCCTCTTCTTCAGCTGACTCGAACCCTCTTTCAGCTCCTCACACAGCCCCTGCCACCATTCTGACTCTGTGTGTGCTGTCTGCAGCGCCCCCTAGAGGAAGGGATGATTGCATTTTTACAACCCAGCTAGGAGTTCTTAAAGCAAGAGCTCTGTCCTCATGGTGGTAAAGTATATTTATAACAAAATATATAAATATAAATATAAATATTGAGACTTTTGACCTGTGCTTTTGGGGTCTTACCTGGAGATACTCCATCTTGCTCTGAGCTTCCGCCTTCTCATTCTCCGCCCTCTGAATAGCCTTCAGAGCCTTTTGTTCATATTCCTCCCTCTGTTTTTCCATCTTTAGCACCACTTTTTTCACTCCATCCTGAGGAACCTTCTGAAAGGGCAAATTGAAGCATTTATCTTCTATTTAAAAAAAAAAGTGTCTCAAACTCTCTGACCTGTACTTATCCAGGGCTGCATGTTAAACCTGTATACAATTCTACAACTTTTGAAAAGCAGAAAAATATTCAGAATTCACTTGATTCTTGCAATCTAAGTGTGAAAGATCATTTGTATTTGTTTGTACGTTGTAAGTTCTCAGAGCTGAGTTGGATCTTTTGCGGTCGTACCTTGATGCAAACCAGCAGCTGAGCCTCCAGAGCTTTGATCTTACTCTTCAGCAAGTCCTCATCACAACGTGTCTGTGGGAGGAAAAGGAAATGTGCGAGTGCGTCAGAGAGATAGAGAGAGAACCACCGAACCAAGAGTTTTCAGTTTCTGTGCATACTGCATCCGGTGTGACAACTACCATCCTTAGCATTGCTATATTGGTTCTTGAGAGAAATACAGACATTGTTATGAGGCCAAAATGGAAAAATGTATAAGTTTGAACAGGTTGAGTTTGAAGCATTACAAAAGCACAAACAAACCTCTCTCTGACGCCTACACTGCTCTCCATTTTGTGTGTGAGCAAGAAAACATCTGTCTATTTTTCTGAACAAGCCATAAGGAGCCGGATGCTGTTGACCACAATACCATCCCCCAGCTCTCTCTACATTACTGCTGTCTTCTGTGCTCAAACCAGGAAACTCACCAATTGCTGAAGCCAAAATTATGCAGAATGGCATTGGATGGAGTAATTATGAGTAATTGAAAAGTAACCATGAATTTCAGAATGTATTTGCATTCGTTTTGTCTTCCTTTTATTCCCTTTTTAACCACATCACTAGAGCTGCATGAACTCAACAACGAGCATCATGTGCTGAAGCAAGGACATCTGACCATCTGTATAAATGAGTTTACATGGTCAATGTGTTTTGGTTAGATTTTAGAATGCCGTCAGGTGCATGTGTGTGCTGTGCAAATAATGCTTCAGCGGGAAGTTTAATGTACCTTCCACAGGAGCTCTGTAGAGCACAGCAATGTAGAGGCGCTCTTCTGGAGGCTGGAGAGCTTCTTTTTAAGAGCCTCTTCTCTATGTAAGGCCTCCTGCAAAGAGATGTCACATTTCATTATATCAGTAACATTTCAAATGAAGTCAGGAAGAGCTGGTGTTTTTGAATATCAATCTTATGGGTTATGACTGCATACTTGCCATACCTCTAAATAAACAGACAACTGGTGGACATCCTGAAAAAAGATGAATGAATTATTATATTAATAAATAAAACAGCATTTACATGTTTAGCTATTTGTTTTTACATGTATATGATCATTTTCCTTTTTAAACAATTACCAAATTCCTTACCGCTTCTTTGACGGTAACAAATCCAGACCTGAACAAAGAGAGTTCATGCTGCTGTAATATTTATATAACAGGTGCATAATTGAATTTATGCTTTTGAAATATTAAACCGCAAGAGAAAGGTAATGTATAAGCAACTCACTCTGTCTGCATGCTGGCAGTCTGTAATATCTTCTGGGTGTTTGAGAGCTGAGTGACGTCTTTGAGAACTGTATGATCATATACTGTACGATTATAACACAGAATAATATTATTAAGATAACATGTTCTGCCACACATGAAAAAAAAACACTTTTTGAAATTGAATTATTGAAAACATTTTCCAACATCATGCAGACAGTGCATAACCCTTGTTTGTTATGGATATTCATCAGAAGATCCACTAACCTCGCTCTTTTTTCACTATCCTCTGAAGCTGAGCAGAACTGAGACCCCATCCGTCTGATTTCAGCCCGGGATCATTTTCATTCATTGAAGAAGTGGAGACTGTCTTTAGGATTTGGACATTTAATTTCAATGTTAAAATAGATGATGTAATTTAAGAATATACAACATTTCCTTGAAATTGCAGCTCAAATGTTTTTTTTGTGTGTGTGTGTGTGTGTGTGTGTTAAAAAAGTATTTACATCATCAGCCACTGTCTTAAAGAAATATAAACCAGAAAAGCATGTAAACAACCGGTCACAGGCCAAAGACCTGGCTAATAGTAAACTCTGTACCTGCTTTGCAAAGTTTATGCCATCTCTCCGGAGCCTTACATTTGGACTTGTTATTAAGGGCCGTCTGATTGACGTAAAGGTTTGCGTCATAAGCTCTGGTTCATGCAGGGTTTCCTTCGAGTACCTGTGCCTTGGCACTGCAGATAACAGTGTGTATGTGCCATGGTCAACAGGTCTTCTTTTGAAGAACTCAAATTGTCTTTTACGATGGAGTTCGTTTTTAATCCACCTTGTGTCCACATCTCTTGTGGGACTGCGACATGATGTTGTGTTATTGCGATGGCTGATTTCTCTGTGCTTCACAGCTCGCTGCTCCACTTTATACTCGTAATTTGGGCCCAGAGACCTTTTGTTGTCATGAGCTCCTTCCATTCTGTCTGGCTGAATGAGTTTGTGCTATATGTTAAGGCACTGTTATCACCTCACAATGTAAATGGGTGTTTCCTGAAGTGTTTATTTCCTGTAATTCAAAAACAACATATCATCCAATCTTTAGCGGTGCTTTATCATTATTGCTCAAAAAATAGACCATCCTAAATCAGCAGAATGACACAAAATGAGGAGTCAACAACAACTGGTGTAAAGTTATGCTGTTGTTTTTGAAGTCACACTTAGTCTTTTTATTCTCTTCTCAGCTACAATAAAATCATTTTACATACAGTATAAAATATTAAATACTAGCTACATACTGTAAGATGAAGTGTGTCCAGTCACTTCTGTTGTCATATTGTTTCAAAACAGGCATGAACTGAGCAACATGCAGCTGAAAGAAAAATATTGTACTATCAATGATGTTTTTAAAATGCAAACAGTGATCTGCTATAATTTTAGGCACTACATTGACTGAAAACCAACATTCCCTTCCAATAAGTGTTTCAATTGGTAAAAAAAAGAGCACAATTCAAATGCATTAGGCTCCAACACGTTGAAACTGAATAACAAGCATGCATTCAGTCAAAACGTAACACCAACATAATTTCATACATGTAGATAAACTAGAATTTTTAGCATCTTTACAACCTTCAATGAAAGTACCTGTTCTTAGATGAGTCCCTGGAGTAAATATAATTGTGAAAGCAGAGTCTGAACGATTTGAAGCTGACATGGCACTTGAAAACTAGTTCATTCAACAAAGGGCGGTCTATTTCTTTTGCCTTGCTTGCTTAACAGGAAGTAAAATGAACCTCACAACTTGTATAAGTTCCTCTATCTCAGCAGCCATGCGTATGAAACTAGTACCACACATATGGGCCCCGAGATTAGGACTGGGGGCGAGGTTATGATAATGACTGTTTAAATGTGGCAATATTGGTAAGGGAATGGACTGGAGAAAAAGAGAAAGACAGCAAAGAATCAACGTTCTGTGTGATAGCAAAGCAAGATTGTAAAATGCAAGCTTTACAATTAGCCTATAGATGGACTCATGTTGATCTTTATCTAAAAACAAATTAATTTGAGCTGAAAAAATAAACGAAATAATTAATCGAAGTTGAAATGAGTGTAGAAACAGAATATGAAAACTAAAGTTCAAGATAGCCTAACTGAATATTAAATAGGCTACATTTAGCCTACCACTGTTCAATATGTGGCCTACTGGCAAATTACCATCACATCTAAATAAGAATATAAAAATGAGCAATGTTTATGAAAAAGTATGTATGCTTGTTGACAACACTGTGATCATTGCTAGGTTTAAATGTTCATGTTATTTTTAGCAACAAATTGAAAATGTCAACATTCCCTTTGTTGTTTGTATCATGTATGATGATGATAAACTGTCGCCACCTGCTGCCTCCCAGTCAGAGTGCCGATTTCCCGGATGTTCAAAGTGCAGGTTTGCGGAAGATCTCGCGATAGGCGGTCGACCAGTAACAAGAATAAGATCTCGCGATATCATCGGCGAGAGTTTCTCATCCTTGGTCTAGAAGGGCACAGAGAGCCCGGTACTGAAGACATTTCGGCCAGGGATCCTGTCATTAACCCGGTAAAGCATGTTGTCAAGACTGGTGCTCGTTTCAGGTAGGTGATTTATACAGTGAAAGCCACTCTAACCTTTCGCATTGATTGTGTTGATTACATAGACTGTTTTATAAGTGAATGTGAAGTTGAAGGGTAAAATTAGGCCGCACGATGTGAATGGCCGCACTTGAGTCTGCAGTGAAACGTGTTTTTGTGCTGTAATTAATGTACATTATAATTCTAAAGACTTATCGAATGAATTGAAGTCAATTTGTTATGTTCAGACAGTCATTTCTGTATGAGAATGATCGCAGAGTTGATGTGTTTTCAGTATGTCCTTGTATTGAGTTGTGTAGCAGTTAGCAGAGAGCTAATGCCACATTCACTTTACCACTTTACCACATAGCTAATTATAAGCTTAAGAATTCACATCTTAAAATGTAATACCACCTAGGTATTGTTCATTCAGAAGTGCAAATTAACAAATGATATGATTTTGCCTAACCTGGGAAGATTGACAGCTTGTTTCTGTCATGTATACAAGGACGTGCATTTTATTAGATCTGCACACAATGAACCAAAATTAAATAAATTATTAATCATTATATATGAAAAACACCGTGTTAACATCTGTTAATCATTCTATTGAACTAATGACAGGTAGAAGTAATAGCCAAGTGTGACAGCTGGAAAAGAAGCATTCATTCATTTGGTGTCAAATGATTCATTTGATCTTTTGATGAAAATTGCACTTAAAACAAAATAGCATTACACTTCATTAATGTGAATGTGATTTGTCAGTAAGATTTTCAGTCCTTTTCTAATTGCTTTGTTGTCTATTTCTTGTAGGTCATACCCTGAAAAACAGCGGGTCCTTTGGCGCTTGGTATGTAAAATCTTGTGGTCAGTGCTCTGAAAGCCAGTCTGTGGTTGAAGAGTACTGGAAAACAAATGACAATCAATGACACCCATAGAACTCTAACCTTGTACTTTATCTATTTGTCTTCCACCAGCCTGGTACAGGCCCCTCGTTCCTTTCATCAGTCCTCCCAGAGTCTTGCACCAGTACCTCCTCTGCCTGAGAAAGGAGGAAAGGTCAGACATGGCATCTTCCCAGAGGAGCTCTTCACACTTCTATACCCCAAGACTGGTGTGACAGGTGGGGTTGTCTGCTTTATTGCCTCCTTTCGTAGGACCATCATGCCACAGTGTCTCCCCTGTATAACTGTTCTTTAAAATAACAATCCACTCTAAAGTAGAAATTACTACTAGGCTTCATTAGCCTAATAATGGTAATTATATACTGATTTGTATACAAACACTTAAATTACACTTTTATTTTATTTTATTTTTTTCAATTTCAATTGTTGCTTTGCACAGTGCATGACATTTTATCTACATGTCACCCGGCTAGAGTTTTGACACCGATTCAATGGGCTCTGCCTAATTCTTTCTTTTTCGCCTGTTTAACGTCACCGGTTTTTTTTTCCTTTTACCCGTTTTACTCGAGAAATTGGCAGTTTAGGTTGTTTCTCCGCCATTAGCACAGCTGCAACACACCGGCAATCTTGAGTTTGGTTTGAGCGACGGTACGCGCTGTGCAAGCAAGGGCTGTGAACCGTGTGATCAGTGCGTACGCAAGCGTGATTAACACTGCTAAGACATTCCTCCTGGCTCTGATTGGTTCTTTCTGACCAGGAGCTGTGTATAGGACCATAGGATAGGATATAGGATTTATCCTATAGTGTATAGGATTTATTTTTTATTTTTCAACAGATTATCTGTCTCATATTCTACTGTCAGGGCATCATGACACTTTTGTAAACAATTTTTTTTTTTTTACGTATTTGTTAAAAGTTACCTACTGCAGCTTTAAGTATCATATTTAAGCCACATCACAATTTCATTTATTGCCATTTGTGCATGCAGCATACCATATGATAGCTATTTGAGATGAGTTGACCTATAATAGAGTTGTGATTCACAACTAATACCCCCTTTATCCAAGAGAGCTGTGTAGAGATTATTTTCCAAGACCTTTATACATGACTCTGTTTGTAACAGTGGTGTTTTCTTCTGACTGCAGGGCCTTATATGCTGGGCACAGGACTGCTCCTGTACATGCTCTCTAAGGAAATCTACGTAATCAATCATGAGACCTTTGCTGCCGCGTCCATCGGTGCTGTCATCATTTATGGCGTCAAGAAGTTCGGGCCCAGTGTAGCCGCCTTTGCCGACAAACTCAACGAGGTTTGTAATGTTTTGTATTCATATGTCGCCTGTGTAATTGTGCAGCTTAACACTGAAGACTGAATAGCCACTTTTCCACTGTCGGGCCTAGCGGTTCTAAGAGTGGTTCCAGTTATATTTCCACTTGAGCTTGGTCCGGCACAGCACAATATGTAGAATGGTAGAATGAGTGTAGTGATGTCGCCACTCAGGATTGGTCACTTGTCTGTTGCCTGGCTACCGGTTTCTCTGTAGCTTGCTATTTGAGCAAAGTAAACGCGTTAATAAAACACTTAATCTGATTCTCCTCCATAAAACTGTCGCTATTTAAATCTCATACTGTCTTTTAACTCTTGCTTTACTAAGGTGATGACTGACGTATTTATATTGCGTTCCAAAGAGCTCTGTTATCAGCCAAACCGTGGAAAATGAAATCGTATCCGTAATGAAAGAGTTAAGCAATGAGAACAGTTTGGTTCGACAGTGGGAAGTGACTGAAGATTGTCTGCTGATATATTTGATATTGTGCACGATGAAATCAAAGCCTGTAACTGAGGGAGTGGTTTGGTCATACAGATGACTAATATCTGATTCTCCTTGTCTTCTCGGCAGGAAAAAGTGGCAAAGGCTCAGGAAATCAAGGTTCAAGCCATGGCTATCTTGGAACAGGGCATTGAGAATGAGAAGAAGGAGCAGTGGAGAGTTGAAGGAAGACATTACCTCTTTGATGCCAAGAGGGTGAGGAGGACATAATGTGGCAGATGACAGATCGTCTCTCCCCTGCCGTGCTATACATAAATATCATGAATCCACACTGTTCTTTTAAATTTAGAATTATTATTTATTTAGAATAGCACTATGTCTCGTTGTGTGACATTCTTCATTCCATCTTTCATCAGAACAATGTGGCTATGCTGCTGGAGACCAATTACAGGGAGCGTATGCACATGGTGACCAATGAGGTGAAGAAGAGGCTGGACTACCAGGTGCAGCTTCAGAACCTGCACCGCCGCATGGAGCAGGAGCACATGGTGAACTGGGTCGAACAGAGCGTTGTGAAGAGCATCACCCCACAGCAGGTACAAGGGCGTATGGTCACGTCACTGGCACTTTATGACACTTTATTGTGTTTGTTACACAAAAGAGGCATTTGTTTAAGGCTGAAGGTCAGAGTTGTTGAGTAATTGTGAGCTTATGCACTTTAATATTAATGGCCATGGCAATTACAGACCGATTCTGGGGGAGTTCTTCATTATGACTGTTTTCGAGATGTGAAAATGAAATATTTTGGAGAAATTGGTCTAATCATTTGAGCATTTCTAGTGAACTACAAATGTGTCCAACTATAAATGCTACATTAGACAAGGGGTGGGAAATTTTGGTCTTGGAGGGCCACTGTCCTGCAGAGATTTTGCTCTAATCCTAAACAAACACACCTGAAGAAGCTAATCGATATATCTTCGGGATTACTAGTAAGCCACAGGCAGGTCAAGGTTTTTTTTATTTTTATAATTATTTTCAGGTTTGGAGTTAAACTCTGCATTACAGTGGCAAAATCTTTGCTGAAGTGATTTTTAGCTTGTCCTCTAGATGGAGACTTTGTAACATTCTATCAGCATAACACAGTAATTGCTAAGATGATATGTGGACAGAAGATGAGTAAAAAGAGAAGAAGAACTCGCCAATATTACTAAACGTCTAAACGTGTGTCAGTCATTGATGTGTTCTTAAAATTTAGGTTTCACTTTACACATTATTACAGTGTAATTACAATGTAATTAGGGACTGGTTTGGTTAAGTTATGCAAAACATACTGTTATTACTATTGTAAGTAAATGTAACTGTAGAATAGTTACCTTAATTTAGATTTTATTTATATCCACCTGAAACAACTACAAAATAATAGTTCTGTTATTACTACCTCTACCTCAATAAATAATCACTTTTTTTGTCTTTCAGGAGAAGGAAAGCATCGCCAAGTGCATTTCAGATCTGAAAGTCCTGGCCAAGGCCACTCAGGCTAGGGCTACAGTATAGGTGTCCACACTGAAGCCTCCTGTTTTCATTCTAAACTAACTCTTTCCTCGTGAACATGCCAGTCTGGCAGTGTCGTTAAAAGTGTACATACCCGTATTAAATAAAAGATTTGGTTATTCACTAAATGCCTTTTCTGTCTTTCTGTCTGTCTCTGCAGTCCTGGCATTAATGGTTTGACTGTTTTGTGGAGCTGGAAAGGTGACATTAGGAAGATGAGTTTGGCTTAACAGTTTCAGCATCACAACATGATTTCAGTGCATTACATAACATCAAATCAAGTGGCATCTGCAAACCTATGATTCATCCTACACTCCTAAAAAACCCTATTTGAAGCATTTATTACATATACATACATATAAGTGTAACTGGTCCAAATATTTTTATTTGCAACAATTTTTAAACCTAACAATTCCTTTTGTCATCTGATTTGGTGGAAAAAATAGTCTTATCTTTTGAAATATATGCCATACTGTTTTATTATCTGCAGCAACGTGCATTCAGTGTGACGTAAATGTACAAATACATTTTAGGGTCGGTGTGTGTCGCTTTGCTCTACACGTCACAGGGCTGCCTATTAATGACAATACCTTTGTACTCAATGATGTTAATGGAAAAACCTACCTACTTTTACCTTCTGACTTGCTATAATTCATGAACTAGACTTTGACCTCGGCTCTTCTGAGCAGGAAGTCCAGAATATTTGCTCTCACACAGTTCACTAGGAAGACAGACTTGAGGATGTGTCTAAATTCTGGAGTTATCTGAACGTAGATTTGGAGAGTTGAATTTAAACTGGTTTAGGATTTTCTCAGAGGTAATGTACAATTATTTGGCTAATAGCAAGATCTGTTTAATAACCGAATGCGTGTGGAGTCACTGATACATGGCGTTTTGCCTACAGGTTGATATGATGGTGACAAATTTGAATAATACTAGATTGGTTACATCCTTACATTGTACATTGTGTTGTTTTAGAGCTGTGGTTATAACAGTGTTTTTTCTTCTTCTCTCTTTTTACACTTGGTTAAGGCTATGGCATTTCACTTCTGTTAATATTTACTTCTTGTCAAGCCAAGCACATTAACTTGTTACAGAGGAAGTTCCAGAATTGGGCTTTCAGCAGTTTCTGCTGCTTATTTGTCATGACTGGACACTTTGAGAACCTCAGGCTATGTGATCCAAAAGACAAAAATGTCTAGGTTTTGTTTTAAAATCCTTGTATTGTAATTGGTTTGTGAAATTGGCTTTTCTTAACTGTTCAAGCTGTTCAATGCTAACAGTGATTTCGCCATGTTTTACTGCCCTAATTTAGTGATTCATTGTTGTTGCATGTATTACAACAAGTAATACATCAGTCAAATTTCTGTGATTTTGTTAGTGATCTTAAAGGTCTTACATTTATAACCAAATAAAAATGTCTAACATATTCAGTACTTGTCTGTAATGAAAATACATTTTAAAAAATACACTGATAATCATCTCTCTCATTTGGCACTCTCATGCTAAAACCAACTTGTTAGCATAGTCTTATTCTGTTAAGATAAGATCAGAGGTGTCAAACCACAAATGATGAACAGACACTTGTTCATAACTAATGTATCTGCCTGGCAGAGCTGCTCAAAAGTTCTGCTATTTTTCTTGAGTAGTTTTATGACTGATAACATTGCTATTACAGGTGTTAGACATCGCAGTCAAGAATGTATGGGGGTAACCCTATGCCCGTTTTCCAGCCAAGGTACATGTCTTACTCATCTCAGTTAGCTGAAGTTTATCGTGTTTGCGAGTGGAATTTGAACCTGAAACGCATAAGGGTGTTTCAGTGTAGAACGTCATCCCTTATCTCTCTCATATCGGTTGTCATAACAGATGTCAGAAAGGCCATTAAAGGTTGCTATGATGAGGCAGGGTTTGGGTTAAAAAGTTTTTAATTTAGCTTTCTACTTTATTTTAGGGTTTTTTTTAAGCTCAGTTTTTTTTCTTCTTCACAGGATTGTCTGATTTTCAGTTTTTGTAGATATTGCTATCTAGTGACATTTTACAGCAAATTAGACGATTTATAAAGGTTTCAATTTTTATATTATTCGATCTAAAACTAATATTAATATTTGAGTTAGTTTACGAGTCATGACGTTTTTCCAAGTTATGTTAGTCATTATTTTTAATTCATTTAATGAACGTTACACGAAAAGTTAATCTTTCCATGTAGTTATCTTTTAAATTTTTGTTGACATCTGGTATGGAAGAATTTTACTGTCATTTTGAAACAAATAGACGCTCCCAAAACTGTTGCAACAAAATTGGGCTCCCATAAATGTCTTGAGTCATGATAATATTACACTAAAATGTATAGCAACAACAGCTCAACAGTCCACATACTTTATGTTGCAATAGCACTGAGTTGACTGTGAGCTTTTGGTTAAGAATAGTTCAATTGTGAATTGACTGATAATATATTCATATTAGAAATGTGAGACAAACACGAAATATATTTACATTACTGATTCAGTGGGGGTTATCTTCAGGGTTTCTTTAAAATCTCTTTTAACTTAAAAAAATACAATTAAAATATGTGGGAAAATGTTTATTCAGGCATTTTGTGTTGTAATTATATTATAGAGGCTTCTCATCTGAGCAGTCTTTCCAGGGGTCTGGCATGTCTCGCCCCAGTGCCAAATCCATCTACAGTAAGTAGAAAACCCATTTAAACAACCTATCCCATAAAATACTATAATTTTTAACTTGATATTGTTGCTTTAGTGCAAAGGAAGGAGTATGCAGAATCAATCACCAGACACCAAGACAACTTTCAGCACAGAGTGGAGGTAAGACTTAGTCTGGTTTATGCATTTGTAACTAACATTATTAACTGATGATATGTTTATAATGTTCAAATGTGTGCTGCTGACTGCATGTGACAGACTCATAATCACAATCTGTGAGTGCAAAGCCAACACCCAGTTCACTAATGTGTTTTATTAAAAAGAACAGACAACCAAAGCTTATCTAGCATGTTCTGGAGAGATTCCCACACAAACTCAACTGGATAATTTGAATTTCACAAGGCACTCAACAGTATAACCAAGCTCCTATGTGATGAGTGACACATCATAGTAACATTTTCTTCTTTTTCCATTCCCTAGCACCTGTTCACCTTTGTGTTAGATGGCAGAGAGATGAGCAGCATTGATGACTGTGTGAGCAGGCTGAAGAATATGGACAGTAAAGGGAAAGTGTGGGGTCAGGACATGATCATGCAGGTCCAAGCCAACCACCTACAGCTGTGTGACATAGAGACCAAGGTCAGGGGGTAGCCTTTATGCTTAAGTCCATTAATCTAAAAAAAAAAAGAAAAAAAAAAAAAGTATGTTGCATTTTATGGCAGTTCCAGTAATAACTGTGAACTCTAACTCTGTTCCTGGAATTGTAGGAGGTTTTGGAGTCTGTACATTTGAGTAGCATCAGGAAGACGAAAGCTGTTCTGGACAGCTGTGTGTATGACTCCCTTCTCATCCTCTCAGTTCAGGATCCCAGCCAGAGAGCTCCACAGGCATTCCTGTTCCAGTGTGAGGAGACCGGGGTGAGGAACAACACTGGCTGTGTGTTCAAAAATGTTATATCCATCTGAGGATAGATAGCGGTGCATCTGGCTATTATAAATCTTGTGGATTGGTGTGGGAGTTTCCATTCCACTCCTTCTGTCAGTTCCCTGAATATTTGTATAAAGGCATCTCTGCTGTTTTGAATCGCCAGGCTCAGGAGGTCGTAAATGATCTGGAAAGGGCGATCCAGCAAGGTGGGGATGCCACTCCTCCGTTTAAGGAACCACAGAGGGACATCAGGTCAGCTGCTGCTTCAGAAACAAGTTGTACTGAGAATCAAGCATCCGTTCTTATAATCTGGCTTTTTTTAACTTTAAAATGTACTATATTGTAATGTTTTAAGTGGGCATACATGTCAACAACTTGTTGTCTTGATTACTCAGGATAATAAGTTCAATATAATTGAAATCCATATCAAGTGAGCTATGCTCAAAGTATCTCATTAACAAACAAAGATTTATTTGTAAAAATACATATTTTTTGTTAAACTTGCAGTCTTAAAGGAGCTGTATGTAAGAAATGTATTTCAAATAACCATAAAATGGCCCTGAAATGTCACTAGACATTAAGAAATCATTTCAAATGTCACTATCACTATCACAGGGAGGGCATACACCACTCTACATTAATTTGAAAGTGATTGCAGTACCAGTTTTGGCCACAATCTTACATACGGCTCCTTTAATTATTATTATTATTATTATTTTTTATCAGTGCTCTACAGTGATATGTGTTTTCTGTTTGGCAGGAGCCATCTGGAAAACATCCTTGGTCATGGTCATCCGGGGAGCATGAAGAGACCAGCTCTCACACCAATGCAGTCAAACCCACTTCCCCCAGAATTCCCCCCTCCGCAGTTCAACAACTATGAAGACTATGGTGATCACCTTTTAGATCACTTCATTTTAGGCCGAAAAAGTTTTCATATAAAAAATGTATTTATGTTTTTACTTCATCGGCTTGGTTTCAAATGTTGTGGCCATTGCGATATGAATGATAAGAATGGTTATTATATATGAATGATAAGAAGGGGCTGAATGATCTTAGAAGAAAACAAAGTAAAATGACCTCCACAGTAATTAAATGGCAAATACGAAAATACAGATTTTTGCAAAACATAAAAGTAATTAAGTCTAAAAATATGAATATAAGCAACTAGAGAATACACATAGTTCACATATAAAGTAAGAAAATGAAATATTGATTTTAATATTCACATTAATTTACATAGAAATTAGTGGTGCGTAATTTATTGGTGAATTTTGCCTTGTACCATTTAAAGGAGTAGTTCACTTTAAAAAAAAAAAAAATTGCTGATAATTTAAGATGTCCATGTCTTTCTTTCTTCATTTGAAAAGAAATTAAGGATTTTGATGAAAACATTCCAGGATTTTTCTCCATATAATGGACGTTAATGGGAACCAAACGGTTCAAGGTCCAAAAGACAGTTTCAGTGCAAACTACAAACTGTTCAAAGGGCTTTAAACGAGTTCAGACGATGAATACGGGTCTTATCAAGCGAAACGATCACTCATTTAAAAAAGAAAAACAAAGTTTAAGTTTTATAAGCTCAAATGCTCGCCTTGCTCTGTCCTGTTTGAACTCGTTTATCAAAATGAACGAATCTTTTTTCGTGTCATTTGGTTCATTTAACGAACGAAATGAACGAGTTGACTAGGGTTCGTTCATTTTGATGAAAGAGTTCGAACAGGAGAGTTACGAACATGCATCACAGAACAGAGTAAGGCGACCATTTGAGCTTATAAAACGTAAACGTTGTTTTTTTTTTTTTTTTAAATGAGCGATCGTTTCACTTGATAAGACCCTTATTCATTGTCTGGAATCGTTTAAAGCCCTTTGAACAGTTTGAAGTTTGCACTGAAACTGTCTTTTGGACCTTGAACTGTTTGGTTCCCATTGAAGTCCATTATATGGAGAAAAATCCTAGAATGTTTTCATCAAAAAACTTAATTTCTTTTCGACTGAAGAAAGAATGACATAAATATCTTGGATGACATGGGGGTGAGTAAATTATCAGCAAAAGTTTTTTTTGTTAAAAGTGAACTACTCCTTTAAATCCATTTCTTCTTTTTTTAAATTTGTTTTATTATTTTACACTTATTGTCTACAGTCTGTTTTGACCGCTGAGAATCACAAGGTTGACCCCTAAGTGAACTGAATTAAAGTGTTCTTTCACTAATGCATCATGTGTCATCACTGATATCTTTTGGTATAATTGAGCTTTTGTTTTGCTTTTTTCAGACGACAGACAACCCTCTCCCACAATGCCATTTCCCAGAGATGAAGCCCCTTACAGGCCAGTGCAGTCTGAGCCAGATCACATTCCACCTCCAGTAAATGATATGGACAGAGATGCGGTCGGTTGTTTTTATTGACAAGTTTTATTAATCCATCCATCCATTCATGCAGTACATCATTGTATTGACACATTTCTCTTTCATCTATTTAATCACTCTCTACAGGAGATCTTTAACCATGTTGCAGCCGACATTGAGACCTTCATATATAAAGTTGGCTCAGCTTTGGCAAAAGCTGATGGAACCAAGAAAAAGAAAAAGAAAAAGAAAAATGCTCCAAAATTTGGTGAGCAACTGACACATTGATACTTGCTATTTCATTTTCACATAAAAGTTTATTTATTTTATTTTATTTGATCATAGTTGCAAGTATTCCCACTGTGGAGGAATACATATCCTGCCTGCAGAAGATAAAGTATGGCTTCAATCTTCTGGTAAGTTATACAAGTTTAATTTCGGTCATAATTTACAGATAACTTGATAATAGTCTACTTCAAAACTCTTTGATTACTACCTCCTTCTAGTTTCAGCATGTAAAGTACAATGGAATTAATGATTTTTGGACATTTTCCAATTGTTTTCTTTTTTTTTTTTCACTCCCACTATGATAGTTAAAAAAACATGACTTACTGTATGCCCAGAATACTGCTCTGTAATGCTTAATGTGAGACATACAGTATCCTTGTTGCAAATATCAGTTTTCATACTCATCTCTACTTGTGACAGGGGAAGCTGGATGGTCACCTAAAAAATCCTCCTGCCTCTGACTTTGTTCACAGTCTCTTTTCTTCCCTTGCTTTTGTAAGTATCTGTTTGTTCAGTCTGTTTGCATTGCGGTGCATTTCATACATTTTTCCCATTATGTAGTGAAATGGGACAAGCATTCTTTCATACTGCATATTCAAAAGTTCTTTTGTTGTATGACCACACCTGTTTTACAAAAGCCTAGCAGTGTATAAGAAAGCTCAAGTTGTATAAGCATGTATGCACTTTCTGCCCAGAGAAAAAGCTTTACTTTTGATGGATTTAGTCATTTGTTCACACTGACATTTTTGACGAGGTTTAAGTTCACCCAAAAATTAAAATTCAGTCATTAATTGCTCATGTTTTTAACCCTTAAGACTTTGTTCATCTTCGAAACACAAATGAAGTTTTTTTTTTTTTTATGAAATCTGAGAGCTTTACTTAGCTTTACGTACAGTAACTAGCACTTTCAAGGCTCGGAAAGGTAGTGAAGACATTATTAAAGGTCAGGGAATGCACCACATCACCCTTCATCACAATAGTTTCTTCATGTTTCAGATGGTGAGCCACTATCCTCCCAACATCCCTTCCTCGGTGCCGAGTCCACTGCTCACAGAAAAAGCCCTGCAGCTCCTGGGAAATGTTGTCACACCAAATGAGGACCAGCTGTGGGGAAGCTTGGGTGATGCGTGGAACATCCCAAGGTCTTCTGTTCCAGAATATATCTATGAAATTACTTACTTAATTAGTAAAGACAAGCAAAAGCTCATGATTTTGATTTAAATACATCTTGTTTTGCAATCAGATCCAAATGGCCAAATGGGAATCAGATCCCTCCATATTATCCCCAATTTTACGACGGCTGGCAGCCCCTTCCACCCGCCCCATCCGAGTCTCCTCCAGCCAGCAGGCAGCTCTCACGGAGCAACAGCGAGCGCTTCCCATCCAGGATTGTCAACCAGAGGCTGCCTGAACACGTAAAATCTCCTAAAGGGGAAAATTTCAACTTAATAAGCTATTGTTGAAAGTGCAATATAAATGAGGAGGACTTGGCTTGACTAAGGATGTTATAAAATGCATCAAGTGTTTGACATGTGGATTTTAACCTGCTCACAGTGGAATGAATACAAACTATTTCCTCTCTCTTTTCCAGGACAACAGACCCTGGAGCACACCCCCCATGCCGTGAGCAACTACACTTGAACTCTATGAAATACCCAAATAAAACATATATTTGTATTAAACAAACTGTAAAAATACTATTAAAAAGAGGGAGAAGTCCACATAGCAAGGCTTTAGTAGTAGCAGATAACACTACTGATTGTTTTTTTTTTGTGCGTGTGTTATGAGGGCATGTTGAAAAGAATGTAGTCTTTAATAGACAGGTGAATTCACTTAAGATTTCTTAGGGAAATTTCAAATCAAGTCAAGTAGCACTTTTATCTTATTTTATATCAGGTCTGCAGAGCCGCCACTTTATATGAGGGTGATCTATGACTTCATGGCAAGGAACATTCAAGAACTGAGTGTGATGAAGGGTGACAATGTGCAGGTAATTTTTCATATGTAAACACCCCACCGGAAGCAATTGTGAATTAGCAACTAATAAGTCACTAATTCAATCAAAAGTAAAGTTGTTTGGTAACACTTTACAGTAAGATCCCTGTAATTAAAGGAGAACTCCGGCAGAAAATGAACCTTTGGTCTAATTAATTGGTTCAACTTGTCGAGACTGTTTTCCAAAGATGGCGCTGCCTGTATACACAAAGTGCACTGTCTTTATAAAATATCTTCTTATTAAATGGTCTGGACACTTACAAAGTTCTCAATGCTTCGTTTTGCATGCAGGGACCCTCATTATGTTACTGTGTTAGTGTGGGGATATTTTGAGCCTTGTTAGTGGTATTAAGTAGTGATTTCTTTTTACTTATTAAATGCCCCCATATACTAGCGTATACGCTAAACAGTTTTTAGAGATAAAAATCTTTCCATTCGATTTTCATGAAAACAAATCTCAGAGAACGGTCGACTAGGTACCAATGTGTAATTAGACCAAAGATTCATTTTGTGCCAGAGTTCTCCTTTAATAAATGCTGCAAAAAAGGTTTTGCTCATTGTTAATCTTTGTCAAAATTAAATGCAAAAGTTTGTTAGTTCATGTTTAATTATACAATTTTTGATTTGTATCATGTATTAGTAAATGCTGAAATTAACCTGAAGTAAGAATTGCTTCAGGGGGATTTTTTATTGTATGTTAACCAATGTAGTTACAGGGATAGGTCATCCAAAAATCCTGTCATTTACTCACTCTCAAGTTGTTCCAAACCTGTATGAATTTCTGTTTCTTCAGCTGAACACAAAATAAGAATATCAGTAACCAAACAGTTGTTGGAACCCATTGACCTCCATAGTATGTAAAAAAAAAAAATACTATGGAAGTCAGTGGCATCCATCAACTATTTGGTTACAGACATTCTTCAAAATATATTTTATGTTCAGTGAAGAAAGAAAAAAAGGTTTTGTTGTGTTTTTTTTTGTGTGTGTAAAACTTTTTCCTGAGCTGAATATACATCGTAGAGTGCATCATAATAAATGCATCATAATAGAGTTTGTGCTTGCTTCAAGGTAATCGACAAGTCTGGGCAATGGTGGAAAGTGAAAAACAGAGGTAATGAAGAGGGTTATGTGCCTCAGAATGTTCTAGAGCCTGTCAATGGACAAAGGCCAACAGTGAGTCATGGTCAATGCATTGACTTTTTTTTTCACCCCCCTTCTTTTTTTATTTAAAACCAATAATTTCAACAATGTTTTGAGCTGTACAGAGTCCATATTTTGTTGAAGTCTTTTATCTCTCAACAGAATATAAGAGGACCTCCATCTCTGGACACAAAATCTAGACCTGAGGAAGTCAAAGCCTGGTTACAGTATAAAGGTTTTTCTAAAATGTAAGCTACTAGCGTGTTTAATTGTATTCTTAAAACTTCACCAATATGCTGTTCTATTCTACCAGATGAATGAGTTTAATATCTTGTTACTGATAACATTCAATTCATTCATTGTGGATTTGTGTAGGACGGTCCAGAGTCTTGGGGTATTCAATGGAGCGATGTTGCTGGGAATGAAACAGGATGAAATCAGAGCAGTATGTCCTGAGGAAGGAGGTCGAGTCTTCTTTCAACTGCAGAGCATTAGATCGAGCATTGCAGTAAGTACCGCAGCTCTGTTTGTTTCAAAGTAAACACACACCTTATACAAATACCATTATTTACGAAGCACTTTTCACTGTGGTGTTTTTATAGCCAACGGTCATTTAATGACCGAGGCAGAGCTGTCAAATTTTATCAGTCTCTCCAACTACTTTGCAGCTTGCCAGTGAGGCCGAGTACAGTCCGTATGGTGGCCGCTAATAAACTCAAGACCCTGCTGTGATTTTAATATCAAGAAGCTGAACTTGTCTGGACCTGAATAAACAAGAGCTACACACACACCTCAACTTCTCCATTTATTTGAAAACAAGTTCAGACTGCTGCCAGTTAAGTGATGATATATAACCTTTTACAGATGCAAATGTCTCCATTTATTGGATTTATTTTATTTATTCGATACCATTTTTTCCATAAAATTGATTTCCACTGATGTCCCTGGGATGATGGTTATGTTTAACATGTTATTTAGTTATACCAGCTGAATGAAAATGAGGCATATCTGTAACATTCTGATTGATCCTAACACTGCATACAGATTGTGCATTGTCTAAATAAATGCTCATAAATAATTAGCACATTAGTTGTCATTTTTGTTTACTAATTGTTTAATTCACTTATGCATATTTTGTTTTCCCTCAATGAAAGGAAAGGTATCACTATTTTAGTGCCCTTGTACATTACATGTAATTAGTAATAACTTTAAATTAAGCATAATCCTAACCCTAATTACTTTAAGAAGGTATAATTATACTAACAAGCACACCTTAAAGTCCCCGTGAAATCAAAATTGAACCTATTTACTTTGTTAGCGCATATTACTAGTCTTGTGGTGAACAATTAATCTGTGCAAGTAAAAATATATTTAAAAAATGTTTTACCTTGGTAATCTTTAATCAAAATCTGAAAAGTTACTTCCGGTCTGGAACGGTTTCTTTTTCTGATGACGTAGGTTTCACAACTTGGGTGGGGAAACGCTTAACCACTCCCCTCAAACCGTTAGTTTGCTATGAGCGAGAGATAGAGAGGAGGAGCGCTAGAGTAAAACCCGGCCCTCTGTTCAATATTCCGTTTCACTTGGAAATACGTCACAGCACTGGAGAAAAATCGTTTGGAACTTCCGGTTCACGGGGACTTTAAAATAAAGAGCAAAAAAAAAGTTAAATGGTCTTAAAAACAAGCTTTTGGGTTTAAACATGTTTGATTACATTTAAGTTCCACCAATCCAGTAGTTTGTGTGTAAAAAACAGTAATAAAGTAAATTTAAAACATGTCTTTAATTATCCAGCTTTTTATTTATTTAAAATACAGCTATTAGGATTAAAACCTTTTTGTTCCTGAATGTGGGTTTGCCTAATTAATTGCAGATGAATGAGGCATTTTTAAAATGGCCAGTGAAATATCAGCCCAACACAAATCTAACAGGAGCAGGTGCCTTTACCTTAGCTGTCGTCAAAAAAGTGACGTAGTACTAGAATATTCTACATAATTTGTACTACTTATATTAATCACTTTTAAAAAGGCACCGTTAATAAATGTTTGCCTGTTTGTTTCTGCGCTAAATCAAGTAGGCCTAAAATCCAAACAGCTGTCTAGTCATATCAAACGTTAAACCTTGAGTAGTAATGAATTGCTTTAAATTGTGAAAGTCTACATTTGTGACTATGAAACTATGAAATAGTTGATGTAATATATATATATATATTATAAAAACTTAAAGAAAAACTGATGCTAAAGATAGAATTGCTTCATAGAACCTTCAGAGTAAGTGCTAAAATATTATTTTAGATATACATACACAGAGTACTATTGCGGACTTTGCATAATATCTCTTATTGAAGACACTTTAGTTGGCTAAATTTCACTTCATTGTGTGCCCTTGTTCTGGCTAGAACGGCATAGTAACTGGTCTGGGGTTTGGGTCAAGGAATGGGGTCATAAAACACCTAGATAAGCATAAGTGTATGTAATACAGTGAGCTTGATTTCTATATTTTTCCTTACCACATTCAAATAATGTGCATAAATGTCTTAAAATTCTTGAGTAATGCACAGATCCTGGCCATTTTTGTCATATGGAACATAGTCACACACCTAAGAGATTTTAGTCTGATTTAGTCAAATACCTTTTAAAATTTGATATAATATTACTAATTTGGATAAGAATCGCAATAGTAACTTGCCTGCACTGTTAAAGCCCAACTAATTTATGCAGTTCTAACAAATGAATGATGTAGGCTAAACGACATCCTCACGAGTCGTTTTAAAAGTTTTCTATCACGTTGCGCTAAAAGACTGTTAACATAAAATAAGCCTGATCGCGAGCAGGTTTAAGCTTGCACACCTGTTGCTTTGAGAGCAAGTCCAGGATGAGCGTTGAAGAACCAAACAATCCAAGATCATGCCAAATCGCCATCAATCAAATCCAGCTAAGTGAGTTACGACGTACGAAGAACGGGCCCCTGAATTGAACAAGTGCTCTGATTTATTGGGTCAAAATAAGGTGATTCATTAAATGCTTAAATTACAATTCAAACGTAGAATTACAATCCAAATAGTGAAATCTATTACAATGAAATGCTTATTTTCATGGCATCAAATAGACAAAAATCTAAAGTGCAACACACACCTGAACACTGTTAATCTAACCACAATTGCTATTCAACTGCATTATGTATATAGAAACAACTGAGATTTCTGATTGTTTTGTTATGATTTTATAATCAATACTAATGTCAACTGCATCACTGGGATCTAAATTGAACTAATTATCCTAAAATTGCTGGTTCAAAAAATATTGGTCTCAAACAACTATCACTACATGTGCTCTTCAACTGTGTTGAGGTTTATGATGCAACTTATGATGTCTGATCTAACCAGTCTTGTCATTTTTTCACTCCTTTTTGTTTCCCCATTTGGCCATCTTGTTGTTCACAGGTGTTTTTATGAACTTGCTTGACTTCATGTATCCTGCAATCTTCTCAAGACTCTGAAAGGGAACACAGTTATAATGGAGTTACTGGTTAATCCTTATACATTACAACTTGCATGTGACTAACTAATCTTTCTGTGTGATAAAAGCTGAATCCAAACCTCAAAGTGATCCAGGAAACATCTAAGATTTTTGTAGTCATCCAGGCATTCTGGGTCAAACATACGATGCTGATCCAACAGCTCGTACATGACAAAGTCCACAAATGTGAGCTACGGGATGAGACAGTGGGATAAGCATGTCAAATTATTTCGGACCATTTTAAATGGACAAAGTAAATGAAATGTGTTTTTGTGTACATAATACTTATTTACCTTGTCCCCAGCAAACCACTTCCTGTCACCAAGGAAGTCAGAGAACTGTTTTAGAGTTCCTGGCAGTTTCTCAATGTAACACGATTTGCCTTTGTCCTTTAATCACATTCAAAAAAGGATTACAAATCATGTTATCTTCTAAATTAACAAAACATTTTTATTATTAGTTAATCATTTCTAACTGTAATATATACATTTATACAATCAAATCACTCACAAAGTCTCCATAGCAGAGCTGGACAAAACCATTGCGGAAGTCCATCGCCTGGTTTTCCATGATGTCAACTCTCACCTGCTCTTCTTCAGTTTCCCCACCTAGAAAAATTAGATGGAGATGTTTTACTTTACTTGGACGACTGTTTACAGTGAAACAAAAAGAAGGAATGAACGAATCAAGTTCTCACAGAGGTTGTTTTTGCGGGCGATGTATCTCATTATGGCATTGCTTTGGACTACCTTTGTGTCACCATCCTCCAGGTAGGGCAACTGTGGTGAATAAAGGTGATGGTTAGTTATTGCATGTTATATTGCACAATAAATACTACAGTGTAACTTACATTAGGAAAGTCCATCCCAAGCTTCTCTTTCTCATTGAACCAACAGCTTTTGTCATAGTTGGGAGCTAAAAGACAAGAATGTAAAATCAACTCGCCTCGTCACTGTGCTTTTTATATGGAAGATGTCTGTTGAGCAATGATGATCATATCTCACTTACCATCCCCACAAGAATAGAACTTCTCCTCATACTTAGTACCAGTGTATTCCAACAGCAGACGGATTGGTTGAGCAAGCTGTATATGAAATAATAATAGCCATGGAATGCTATATAACTTCAGCTTGCTGAAAAATGTTTTTCACTCATGAAGTGATTAACAGAGGGTCGAGACTTCACAATGCATTTGATAATAATGGTAATGTTCTTATTTGCATATGAGGTGGCACTTATTGGACAAATACCTAACTGATATGTGGAAATATTGCAACGGATCTGCTGTAGATTTACAAATTATTATGAAGCATACAGTAAAATAATAATCACTCCAGCGGCCGGCTGCAGCCTTAAAAATGTTTTTTTCTTGAAGACATAACTTTTTAATGTCAAAACTTGTATTAGTCTCATTTGAAATCCGAAAAATTAAGAATGATTCTCGGACCAACCAGCAGTTAGCCGAGGGATATGGTAGTTTTTAGCCTGTCAAATGTTTGTGCAGTTTGCTGTGCCCCATTTTGATAGTTTCCCCCATACATTGAGACAAACAAGGCGCGTGAATGTTTTGTGACTACAAAATGTAGTTAATATTTGGTTGCTAAAGAATCGCAAGCTCTTAAACATAACAACAATGTTAAAACTGACATTAGGTCTTATAAACTAAAACAATAGATCAAGTGTAACGTAACCACACCCGAAACGGCTTCAAATAAACGGACAAAACTGGAATCAAAGTAACGCATCTGTGACGATGGCGAGACACTTCAAACGACAAAAAGTATCAAACTCATGTGCACCTCTGACTTTGCCAAACTAACAGTTAATTTCTAGAGTGTCAACTTGCAGTCCAAAAAAGATGTTAATTCTAAACATGCTGCAAATATGGATTAGGTTTGACCGTTTTTAGACATGACAAACCACATTACTTATATTCGTGATAACTGCATGACTTTTAGCCTACGAGCAAACGACGAACAACAAAAAAAAATCGTCGAAATCAAATAAATATCAATCAAATGTTCAACAACAGTTAAAATTACGACTGTTTCTCACCCCGCGTATATCCCAGTATGCCAACTTCATTGCCATCTTGCAGCAAGAGCATGGACTGTGCAGCGTTTCTGCTTCGAAGTGTATGCAGGTCAGAGTCTGCAGCGGAATGGAGGAGGGGGCGTGCGTACACCACTCAAGTTAAAGGGATATTACACCCACCCACACGATTATTGTTAAAGGGTTAGTTCACCCAAAAATGAAAATTAAGTCATTAATTACTCGCCCCCATGCTGTTCCAACCCCGTAAGACCTTCGTTCATCTTCGGAACACAAATAAAAATATTTTTGATTGAATCTGAGAGCTGGATCAGTCCTAGATAGACTGCCTAAGGGACTGGCTCTTGACGCCCCATAAAGTCATTAAAGAAAAGGTTTAAATATTCCATGTGCCTACAGCGGCTCAATTATAAGTTAATCAAGCGACGAAACTACTTTTTGTGCGAAAAAAACATAAATAAAGACTTTATTCCACTATTCCATTACTTCCTTATGGGCGCATGCGCGAGAACAG